CCCCACTACCATAGACAGCATGGCTGGAGCAGAGCCCATGCAGGGGCAGGTGCAGGCTCCCTGCCGTGCTGCCCTCCCCCCCACCCTCCGGGGCCTCCACAGCCCAGCTGGGGGGACCTGGCACAGCAGGGAAGAATGAGGCTGGGTGGAGAAGCTCAGTGCCACCACCGCAAGCCCCACGTTGCCATGATGAGACACCCCCTGCCTGCTCAGCAGCAGCAGTGGTGGCAGCATGGAGTTGTGCCTCCCATTGCTGCCAGGCAGGCAGGGGACACCTTGCCATGGGGGCTTTTGGCTCATAGCAGCAGCACCAATCTTCCCTGCCCCGCTGCACCAGGTCCCACCCGCTGGGTCATGGTGCCCAGGGGGAGGACAGCAGGGCAGGGAGCTCAAGCCTACAGCAGGCAATCTGCCCGGTACACAAAACTGGGGGGCATGTGCTATCCATGCCTCCCCCTGGGAGTGCACACAGTGGTGGGGAGCCAGCTTCCCCTGCCCCCTGACAAGCTGCCTGCAGCTCCATCCCAACTCCCACCTGGGCCCTGCGGTTGCGCATTCTGGCCCCAGGCCCCACACATTGCCCAGACTGGGCAGCAGCCCCAGCCCTGCCCAACAGCCCCAGCCCTGCCCAACTCCATCCATCCATCCCTCAATATGGGGGCCTCAATCCACCCTCCTGAATTACCTGTGGGAGTTGCTAGCTGGCTGGAACTCTGTCATTTCCTGCATTTTTCTCCTTAAAAGGAGAAAATCCAGGTTTTATCACTTAAAATGGGAAAATCTGGGTTTTGCCATGTTTTTGCATGGCAAACAGAAAATCCAGCTCCCTGATTACTAGGCTACTGCTCGATAGCATCACCTAAAAGATGTGCACTAACTCCAGTTACTGTGCATTTATTTAGTACTTGATTATACAGGGGAATTAATCAGGGGGTTTCAACTTCTTTTAGTAGGGGTACCCCGAGCAGCTGGTCAATGAGCCAGGGGTTGGCCGGTGTCTGGTCGACAAGTTGGGGGAGGGGCACACAACAGCAAAACTGGAAGTACCACTGACTTCTTGGCACCACTGCCGTGTACACCCTGGGGCCTTCCAAAGTACCCCAGGGGTATGCATGCCCCCAGTTGAAACCCCCCCTAAATTAAAGGTGCAGGAACGACTGCACAGTAGCATCTCCATAGACGTGCCCAGTGTTCACAATCTAAGGCTGTTATTCAGGAATGCATTTCTATTTGATAAAGACATTTAAGGAAATGCTTAACTTTAGGTATATTTTCCAAGTCTCACTTAAAATTTACATTTAAATGCCTTCCCAAATCAAGATGGACATAATCACAAGGCACAGTAATTTTCTGAACTGGTGTCCAATCAATGATCTTAATCTATTTTAAACATTTATTGTACAATGATAGACTAGGACCCAGAATCAGGATCAATCATTCTAAAACAGATACAACAATCAGCAACTCAAGTGCATCCATCCATAAAACATAAAAACAGATTTAATCCTAAAATGCAGAGAAAACCCCTGCTCTTGCAAACATGCTACAAGCTTTTCACCATATGGAAAAGACTTAGTTCTTAAGTTTCAGGTTTTGGTTTTTAAGGTCCAACTGGAAAAATATATACAAGTCAAGTGCAGTGACTTCAGTCCATAGATCCTGCTAATACAGGTTGGAGCCACTGCTGCCAAGAGTTACATTAGAAACTGGAAAAAGAGTATTTCAAATAGACCACTAAGCCATCTTCTGGAACAGAAGCTAATGGGTCCCTTAACAATGTGGTAACGTTCCTCCTATTTTCTTTCTTCACCAGTTTCACCCTCTCTTTTCAAGGCATGGAAGGTATTTTTAAAGGCACCTGCACTGACAGGCAAGCTCTCAAGCATCTCGTAGCTTCGTCTCCTCATACCCTCTCCAAGTTTGAGGGAGCAGGATGGGAAGCTGCAGCCTAGGGCAGAAGGCGGTGTCAGCTGGCACCCAGCCCAAAGGAGCTGCTTTGCCCAGGGGAAGAGGGCTCGAGTTTCCCAAGCTTGAAGCTTTTCCTCTCGGGAAAGCTCCACGCTGGGGCGTGTCAGCCCGGCCGCTGGAGGCCCAGGTTAGCGGGGCGGTACAGACACGCAGGGACCAGCCCAGCCCAGCCCTGCCTTGGCTTGGGCGGGAGGAGAAGCAGCTGCAGCCCGGCGAGACGCTCCGGGGGGCAGGCGGGGAGGGCGGGAGCGCCCTGACTGGTCCTGCCCGCGCCCCTTCCCCCGGCCGAGAGGCCAACATAGGGCAATGGCCGCACGTCAGCACCCCTCCCCCGCACGCGGCCCTCCAGGACGAGCGGGGCTGACGTCACGGGCCACCTCAAAGGTTGTCAGACCCACGCACCAGCCCGGCCCGGCCCCGCCCCCCAGCATCCTTACGTAACCCTGCGCCCAGCCTCGCCCCCTTTCCGGGCCAGCGGCGAAAACGTGGGTCACGTGCGCGAGCCCAGCGGTTAGAGGGTCACGTGACAGCAGCAACCCCCCCCCCACGTGACCCGGTTTGTTGTTGTTGCGGCCTCTGCGGGCGGGTGCCCGCGTGGGCGGCGGCCGGGTCACGTGCCGGGTTTAAATCTCTCCCCGGAGTGGGGGAGGAGGCTGCAGCTGAGGTGCCGCTGCGCGTTGGTCCGGGCGGGGGAGGCGGCGGTTGCTGCTGCTCCAAGATGGCGGATGAGGAGGTTCCGCTCATCCAGCCCCGCGGCGGCCCCTGCGCTGCGGCGGATGGTGCCGAGCCCGCTGCCAAGCGCCAGCGCCGGGACTCGGAGGACGAC